TATGTATTGGACAAATCAGCAAACTACCTTCAGTTACAATATCCTTATCTGTAACATAGGAATTCATGTATCATTCACTCACCCATGAATTTAGTTTATTAACTTATATTAATTTGTGTTTATATTTATAATACTTGTTGAGTAGATGCCGTTCTAAGTACTGGAGATATAATGAACAATATCTAAAGGTTCCACAGACCTTACAATTTCATTAAATATTAGCATTTAAAGCATATAGTTGAGAAGATTTAATGAAAGCATTATAGTAGCTAATGCATATACCAGTGTTTAAGTGCCAGACAAGGTTTTAAGCTCTCTACGTAACACACTTATTTATTCCTTACAAGAATAGTATGTGACAGGTACTATTGTTATTATTGTTTATATATGATGAAATCGGGCCACAGAAAGTTTAAGTATTTATTTCAAAGTCACTTAGCTAATAAGTGGTAATGCTGGGATTTTTAACCCAGGTCAGTGGGGTCTGGAACCCATCCTCTTAATCTCTGATGTGACACTACCTCTGTTTGAGACATTTAACCTATCAAAATCTTGACGTACGTATCAGATTTCGGAAGAAGTCAACCTAAACTACAGAATGTCTTCAAGACCAAGTCTGTAACTTGATCGGACACTGAGGTTTTTCAAGAAAGAGTGTGTCAACAAGCAGGAACAGTCTCGATGAGTATTGGGAAAAGAGCGCCTTCCCAACAGCAAAAGTTGGCAAGGTCTGTGAAGCATTTACGGAGAAGAAAACAAATGTGACGACAGATATTGAATACTTAGCACTTCGTCATTGTGCGAATTGCTTTTCACAGATTACCCTGATTCGTCTTGATGATCATTTATGAAGCATGTGATACATCTATTTTACAAGATGAAGAACTGATATTAGTACAAGTTGAATCACTAGTCCAGGGTCTTGCAGTCAGCAAGCATCTCCAATTCGATGGTTTGACCCCAGAACACGCCTTCCTCATGGCTTCCAAGTGTCATTTTTTAAAATACTGGCTGTCACATTCAATCTGCAGGATACAAAACTTCTGGCACTTAGACTCTTATTTTTCTCCCAAGTAGCATCAGGGCTGGGAGAGTGTACTTTGAGACCATGTAGCAAAAGGTGAGTTACGATGTGATTTTCTCAGAGGTGCTTCCACTGGCCACACCAGCTGAATCAATTCCTCTATTGTTATGCAGAATTCCATTTTTATAATTATTGTTTTAATGTTACTGTCCTCTGCTAGGCTCTAAGATATGAAGTTTACAGTGTACCCCCTTCATTTTTCAGTGCGTGTCCAGTGCTTGGTGTAGTTCCTGGTATGTGAAGGCTTGCTTCTGTGTTCACTTAATGTACATTTTTTTTATATAAGTTGATTTATTCACTTAGGGAGAGAGAGCAAGCACAAATGGGGGAGGGGCAGAAAGAGAGAGGGAGGGAGAGAGAATCCCAAGCAGGAGCCCAGTGCAGGGCTAGAATTTATAAGCTGTGAGATCATGACCTGAGCGGAAACCAAGAGTCAGATGCTTAACCGGCTGAACCACTCAGGTGCCCCTATGTACATTTCTAATCCTGTGCCTGGTTTCTGAGGTTCTCTGATAAAGGCAAAAATGCAGACAGATGACTGTTAAGCCCTGGAAAAGGATATCCCTAGTGTGAATTAAACAGCACAGGGAGAAGGTGGGCTAGAAATTAGAATATCGGGGTTGTTTGTAACATTCTCACTTCATTAATGCATTTGCTTTTTCACTTACATTAACAGAATCTTGGGAGCCTGTTTACTCCGATTCATCCCCGGGAGACTGAGCAAACAACCCATCGCTGTGTGCGTTCACTGAGGTGATGCCGTCCCACACGCATGGCCTGAGCAAGCCGCCAGCAACAGACTGGATGTGAATTTCGGGCACAAGCAGAACAGAAACACTGAACGTCATTTCTTTTTAAAGCAAGGCAACAAAAGTTGTTCTTAAGGGAGTATCAGGACTTCATTGAACTTCATTACAAGTAATTTTTTTTTGTAAATTTTTTTAATGTTTTTATTTATTTTTAAGAGAGAGCAGGACAAAGCGTGAGCAGGGGAGGGGCAGAGAGAGAGGGAGACACAGAATCCGGAGCAGACTCTAGGCTCTGAGCCGTCAGCACAGAGCCCAATGCAGGGCTCAAACCTACGAACTGTGAGATCATGACCTGAGCCACCCTCAGGCTCTCAACCGACTGAGCCACCCAGGCGCCCCTCAGGTAATTTGTTTTTAATATTATTTTGATTTTGACTGACGCCTAGGGGTGGGGTGGAGGGCATAATCGATTCAGTGTTTGGTGTTGCCCAAGTTCTCCCACCCTGATCTCCTGGAGCACAACGGCCATCCTCGTACATCACATGGCACTGCCTGCCTTCTCGCACATTATTAATATTAGCGTATTTCGTTTGGGTCATTTGTATTTTGTGTCTGAGAGAGAGGTAGCCAAGCTCTTTGACAAGGTGAACCCTTCCTCCTGGATGCTGCCTTCCGTACTTGGATGATTTTGATTCGCCGCTGTTGTGCATGTGAATTCCAGTCACAGAGTCTCTCTACTCTGCTTCCTCCTCCATCTACTGGTTTTATTTCCAGACTTCCCAACAGGCCGTGCTTACTTCCTCCTCTGCGCTTAGTGGAACTCCGGCTCTTGCAGCCAAGCTTTCAAGCAGCCCCAGCATCCTTTTTTGTTGTGTGTGGGCTCAGCCTTGCTTAAAGCCTCTGTCTTATGTGTGTTTTTTCTTCTATTAATTCAGTCATCAGCTTACTCATCTTCCCGGTCACCGTTTAAACAGCTAACATTGTTTTCCATGCTTAGGAGGTGTTGTTCGTATTCAGTGAGTGGAATTAAATCATTTCACCAATTTTTACGTTTCGGATTGTGTGAATTACTATATGACATTTCAAAGTGTCTTATTGGAAGTTGTTTTAAAGTACCTTAAAATGAGAATGCTTATGCCCAAAACCTATTTGATTAAATGAAAAGATTGAAAAAAACCCCTCATATCCAAGTTTTGAGGATCGAAGAATTACTGTGTCCTTCAGTTTTTAAAGTTCTATCTCTATATTTTGTATATTCCAAGTTTATTATATTTTCATGTCTTAAAGGATATATATATATATTAACCAACTTTTGAGTATAATGACAATCATATAATCCAGAAATTCCTCAGAGTGATTTTGGTGAGTTTTAATTGCCTCCTGCTTTTTCCCTATACCAAGAGAGAGGTTCAGGAAATAATTAAAAAAAAATTTTTTTTACATTTATTTATTTTTGAGAGACAGAGACAGAACGTGAGTGGGGGAGGGGCAGAGAGAGAGAGAGAGGGAGACACAGAATCCAAAGCAGGCTCTAGGCTCTGAGCCATCAGCACAGAGCCCATTGTGGGGCTCGAGCCCACAAACCACGAAGTCATGACCTGAGCCGAAGTTGGATGCTTAATTGACTGAGCCACTCAGGTGCCCCAGGAAATAATTTCTTAAAAGAATAAACTTTTACATTTTATTTTATTTTCATGTTCACATCCCCATTTACTGTTACTAATAGTAAAATCCACCTTTCTAAATGTATACTTTTATGAGTATTGACAAATTTATATAGTCATGTAGCTGCCATCATCAATCTAGACAATATTTTCATCAGCCAAAAAAGCTCCTTTATACCCCATTTGTTCCTGACTTTCTTCTCCCACCAGCCAGCTGCAGCCCTGGTGTGAAAATATGAATGCCTTTTTCTTCCTGAAGTACATTTGGGAATATTTTCACTTAAGATATAAGTATCCCTGGTAAATCAGGTGTTGAGTTGACATAATTTTAATACCCTTAAAATGTACTTGCTAGCCTTCTGCTGTGATAAAGATACTTTGGGGAATAGTTTAAATAAGTAGTAGAAAATACAGTTGCCTCTGTAATTATGTAATATAACATTCAGTCTGTGGATGAGAAAGTGCCTTTTTTATGGCATCAAGCTTTGTGACTCACAGGATAGGGAAGGAAAAAATCTTTTTAATGCCTGGATGTTTTTCTCTCCTTCTCCTTCTCTTCCTCCTTCTTCTTTTGGGCAGGGCTGGGGTACAATCAGTTGGTTTAAGATCAGATTTTTTTTTTTTAAATCTAAATAAAGTTTTTACTTGGTTTGAAGTGATATAGTGGCTATTATTATATATTATACATATCAATAAATTAATGTGTCTGACCAGTGAAAATCATAGGACAGCCAAATTATACCAAAGATTGAAGAGCCATCTCTAAGTTGAACGTAAACTGAAATCCGACTAAGGCATCGTTTGTTCTTTTGGGGATGGGTGTGTGATAAAGGGGCTGTCAGCTGGAGTGGTCAGAGGATCAAATTAATGGCTGGAGAAGACTCACTTTGGGGTGCCATGCGTCCTCCATGCTTCCCTCCTTGGAAAGTGTCTGACATAGGCCATGTGGACGAGAAGAGATCACTGTGTTTATAGTATAACGTCTGTCTCATTCTTGCCCGGGGTTAACAGGATTGGGGGCAGACATAAGCCAGTTTTATCAGTGACAAATCCATTCTGTGTTATCAAAATTAGTACTAGGAGACATCAAGGCTGCAGTCAGACAACGGTAAGAGCTAGTAAATCAGAGTTCATATCATACTTGATTCAACTATAGTAGATACCTTTGAATATGCTCCTTTTTAAATAGTTTCCTATTGATTTATGTGGGCAGATTTGTGTCCTCCGTCTCTACGTGACAGGGCTCAGTCACCCCTCTTTGCTGCATATCTCACTCTTGTACCTATATTTTGCCTTCCTTCTTTCTCTGTAGTCTTGCCTTAGCTTAGACAACTTTTTATATTCCAATTTCTACGTGAATAAGTCTGCATCTCCTGCCAGCTCGTTAAATATTTCTAGATCTTCTCTCATTTACCTTCTTAATCAATTTCTACATGTAGATCTTTGCAAGTACTTCTAACTCAACATCCTCCTCAAAAATCTTCTACTGTCACACCCATTAGGTACTTAGTGCACAAATGTTTAATTGAATTGAACTGTCATTGTTCATGGCAAGAAGAAAAACAGTGTAGGTTTTGAATTGGGGCTTGGGGAGAAATTAAAAAGGAAAAGATCGTCCACATATCGAGATCACCACGAAATACAAAACCAGGTTTAAACATTTCTATTCCTTGGGGGTGAGACTAGCCTGTCTCCTAGAAAGATCTTAGTAGGAAATAAAGTTGAGGAGTAAGGGGTGAGACAAAACTGTGGCCAAATTTGAAAGCAGAGAAATTGGAACTTGAGAATTTCATTCTGGGTACCTGTTGACCTCTCCTTGATAGATTCCGTATGTTTCAACAGAAGAGAATTCACCCTTAGCTTCGAGGGTGAGGATGTGGCCTGAATATCTCCAATCAGAATGAATCTCAGGAATCTCGTTCGGAAACATTCCCTTGTGGTGAGTAGAACCGCCGTGATGTAACTGTGCGGGGAACTGGCCGGGAAACAAAGCTCAGACGAGCTAGAATGATCTTCATGTCGCAGCTAGAGAAAATTTCTGAAATTTGTGAAGGTCTCCTAAAAACTGAAAGAAAAGTTTTGGAAAATACGAATGTAAAAAATCACTTACATTAGTGATTAGTAATGTAAATCACTTTGTGTTGGAGAAACACGAGAATATAGATGCATTATGTCATATTTGGAGGAAATACAAAAGTACTACTAGGTATGATGATGTGTTCAGAAAATTGATATATTGACTCATCAACGAATTCAATTGTTTTCAATGCTGTTATAACTATTAGTACCAATGGCACTAAAAGGAATAAAGTTTAACTGCTTTTCTATTTTCGTGCGTTTGGCACTGAACTTTTTAAAGACCCTCTTTTGTCGGGGGTGGGGAGTTTGAGGTTCATAACAAAATTGAGAGGAAGGTGCGGGAATTTCCTGTGGACACCCTGCTCCCACTCATGCATGGCATTCCCCATTTTCAGCATTGCTTAGCAGAATAGCACATTTGTTACCAAGAATGAACCTACATGACTCATGAGAATCATCCAAACTCAGTAGTTTACCTTAGAGCTCATGCTTGATAGTGTATCTTCTACAGGTTTGGACAAATATATAATGACATATATTCATCATTAAAATACCACACAGAGTGATTTCACTACCCTAAAAACTCTCAGTGTTCCACTTATTCATCCTTGCATCCCATTTGGACCCCTAGTAATCACTGATCTTTTTACTGTCTCCATAGTCTTGTCTTTCCCAGAATATCATGTAGTTGGAATCATATGGTATATAGCTTTTTCAGATTGGGTTATTTTACTTAGAAATATGCGTTCAAGTTTCCTCCTTTTTTCCAAGGCTTAAAGTTTTTTTTTTTTTTTTTTTTTTTTTTTTTTTTTAGCACTGAATAATACGCCATCATCCAGATGGACCACAGTTTATTTATCCATCACCTACTGAGGGGTATCTTGGCTGCTTCCACGTTTTGGCAATTATGAATAAAGTTGCCATAACATCCACGAGCAGGCATTCGTGGACATAAGTTTTTCAACTTTCTGGGTCAATATCAAGAAGTGCAATTCCTGGACCATAGGGTCAGAGTATATTTAGTTTTAGAAGAAACTCCCAGATTGTCTTACACAATAGCTGCACCATTTTGCATTCCCACCAGCAGTGTATGAGAGTTCCTGTCACTCCACATCCTCACAAACATTTGGTGATGTCATTGTTCCAGATTTGGGCCATTCTGATGGATGTGTAGTGTTGTCTCATTGTTGTTTTAATTTGCATTTCCCTGATGACATATGGTGTGGGGCATCTTCTCATATGCTTATTTACCAACTGTAGATCTTTGGTGAGGGTCTTTTAGGGTCTTTGGCTCATTTTTTTTTAAATCACATTATTTGTTTTCTTGTTGAGTTTTATAAATTCTTTGTATATTTTGGTTAGTCCTTTATCAGATGTGTCTTGCAAATATTTTCTCTCAGTCTGTGGTTGTTCTTTCATTTTCTTCATGTTGTCTTTTACAGAGTTTTTAATTTTAATGACATCCAGCTTATCAATTGTTTCTTCATGGATCATGTATATTTGGTATTCTATCTAAAAATTCGTCACTACACCCAACATCATCTAGATTTTCTTGGGGCACCTGGGTGGCCCAGTAGGTTAAGCGTCCGACTTCCGCTTGGGTCGTGATCTTGTGGTTCATGAGTTCAAGCCCCGTGTCGGGATCTGTGCTGACAGCTCAGAGCCTGGAGCCTGCTTCGGATTCTGTGTCTCCCTCTCGCTCTGCCCCTCCCCCCTCATATTCTGTCTCTCTGTCTCAAAAATAAAACATTAAAAGATTAGATTTTCTCCTATGTTATCTTCTATATCTTCTAGGAATTTTATAGTTTTATGCTTTACATTTAGGTGCATCATCCACGTTGAGTTAAATCTTGTCAAGTGTGTAAAGTTGTGTCTTTTTTTTTTTTTTTTTTTTTTTTTTTTTTTTTTTTTTT